ATAGGATTTGCTCTGTCTGTTACGGTAATGTAGGCAGAGGCTGAGCCAGTGTTAGTAGCAGGCAAAGAAATAACGTATCTTGAAGATGCTGAGAAAGCCAAACCCGTAAGGTGGATGGTTTAAAATCTGAACAGCTGTGCCTAATAAAGGACCGATCAGCGAAAGGCACTTAGGGGAGAGGAGAGGAAGCTCCTACACAATTCATTCTGGCATGTCTTGGTTTCTGACATTTGACAGTGCTTGGGCTGCACTGATACCAGTACAGTGGTACCTCGGGTTAAGAACTTAATTCATTCTGGAGGTCCATTCTTAACCTGAAACTGTTCTTAACCTGAAGCACCACTTTAGCTAGTGGGGCCTCCCGCTGCCGCTGCACCGCCACTGCACGATTTCTGTTCTCATCCTGAAGCAAAGTTCTTAACCCGAGGTACTACTTCAGGGTTAGCAGAGTCTGTAACCTGAAGCGTCTGTAACCCGAGGTACCACTGTATCTGCTGCATAACTGATAGGACAATGATTGCAAATCTCCTTGATGGGATCCGAAGCTGCCCTGGAGCTGGTGGCAGCACATGGTGTGTAACATGTTTTAAAGGTGGGTAAGCCAAGGCGTTTCTGTGTGCTGCTCTGGTTCACCAGAAGCGGCTTAGCCATGCTGACCGCATGACCCGGAAGCTGTACGCCGGCTCCCTCAGCCAATAAAGCGAGATGAGCGCTACAACCCCAGAGTCTTCTGCGACTGGACCTAACGGTCAGGGGTCCCTTTACCTTTACCTTTAAGCCAAGGTGATGCCTTATATTTGTTGCTGGACTCCTAACTCCTTTCAGCCCCAACTAGCGTGGCCAATGGTCATAGAATCATACAATTTTTGAGCTGGAAGGGGTTCCAAGGGCCATCTAGTCCAACCCCCTTCAATGCAGGGATTGCAGGTAAAGATCAGGGAGGGTGGGAGTTGTAGTTCAGCCACATCTAGAGGGCACCTCATGGGGCTGCCCCTGTTTTAGAGAGTCAGTGCAGCAAATGTTACAGCAGACAGGAAATGAGATCTAAGGAAAGGGGCTGAAGGGAATGGGAAACCTCGCCATTTGTGGCACAGGGAAAGTGGCTTTTAACTCCCAGGCCTTATCCTTCCAGCACAGCCAGTGGGGAGATGCACAGATGGTCCCATAAAGCTGATCCCGCTCGTTTTCCTTCCCACAACCGGAAAGACTGGCAAAGCAGGCAAGAAAGCGAGCAGCTAAGGAGGGAACTCAAAACCCACCGAGCGAGCGGAGGGGGACGCGAGGCGAGGCACCAAGGTCGATTGCAGGGGGCCTCTGGGGAGCCGCATGACATAATTCCCTTAAAATATTAATCCCCATTTTCACTGCGAGGTGAGTCAGCAGCAGTGATAAAACCCCAGAGAAGTCATAAAAAGCAAGAGCAATTGATAAAGCGGAGAGTCGACATAATAAAACTCTGCCACGCTGAAGGTCAGGTCGCGCCTGTCTCAGTCAGGGCTATGAGCCGGCAGATGGATGGTTTGCTTGCTCCACAGCCCTCAGGGCCACAGAAGAGAGGCATCTGAGAAAGCTATGCAGCTCCGCAAAACCCGCAGCGAGGGGGTTTTCAGCCTGCAACATGCCCCAATGCAACTTGCAGATCCGAAAGTTTCCTGAGGACGAAAGCCCCGCATTTCTAGTTGAATTATTTGGCCAAGGAAAGTGATCCAAGTGAAGCAAACACACTTCTTCCTATGTAGGCTGAAAACTGTGTCTGCGTGACAGAGCTCTGCAGTAGGGGATGACAACTAGACCTCATTCACCCCTGTTAGAATTCCTGATCTACAAATGCAGTCATGGGATTGTTGTCTATCACATGACAGTGTATGTTTTGACTCCACAGAGTGGGAAGTGACGGAGACAGGATGTTTGTGTTACTGTGTTCCGTGAAGTGGGACTATTGTCCTTTGTTCTTTTTCTCTTTGCTGTCTGATGCTAGAGAGAGAGGAAGCCATGTCACAGTGCTCCACGTGTGTTTATATGTACTGTAAATAAAGTAGATTAGCAAAAATGCTGAGTTGCTGAGGTCTGTTGCGCAAGCTGCGCAAACTCTGCGGATCCCTAAGTGTGCCGGTTTCGGTTGGCATCGGTCGCTGTGATGTTCGGGCTGAAGAAAGCTTTTGAAGCTCCCGAACGAAAGACTAGGAGGGAGAGAACATGCCAGTCGGGCATGTGTCTCTGCCAGGGTCCCACTTGAGTGTAGGCTGAACTCCTGACAACCCCTACACAATATCCCACGATTCTTCTATATTCGTCACCGAATGTGTAAACTGACTCCATTGAAAAGCCTCGAGCCGGAGGTAATGTGTGAAGATGCCAAAGGATTCAGTCTGTCATTCGCACATGCTAGTAATCACATGATGTTAAAGCCATCTAGTGACGAACCTGCATGTGTGAATGATGCCCTGGAAATGGCTCATTGCTGGGATACTGCAAGGAGAATCTCTAGGCCACTGGGATATATTATTGGTGGCTGCTGCCACTGACACGAAGGCTTTGTATGCAGTTGTGTGTATCTCCATGGAGGTCAGTTTTCAAACATCACAGCTCCTGCATGGAGCACCACCATGTGGAAGAGTTTTGCAGCGGCTGGTACATGGATGTGCTGAGAGGGCGGAAACATCAGAAGCAAATCAGGGTGGGGGGCACCTGAATAAATGGTCCTCAAGGCAGGATTCCATGGGCTACAGGAAGGCCCAGTACAGCAAAACACTGTAACAAATTTGCATTGTGCAACAACAGCAAGCCAGCACAAAGTGATGTGTAGATAACTTGGCAAAATAAGAGCTGAAAGTGGCAGTGGCAAAAGGCACAGCCAGTGAGATACCCCTTACAATGTGATACCAGAGAGACCTGCTTCTCTTTCTGCCCTGCACATCTCTGCTGCAGGTGACTCCACTCACAGGAGCACAGAGGGTAGAGACAGGCATTATGCCAAGGAGGTGAGGCAATGAAGCTAAGCAGATCTCACTGCAGGGGACCATATGTAGGCTGCTCAGAGCTCCTCTAAGGAAGGACAAGTCCAACAAATAAATAGTGCATTTCCTTTATTCTAGATGTTGATGTCTTGCCCTATCCCGAGGATCTGGGCTGCTAATGGGCATGTACATTAGAAGGAGCTAAGCCAAAGGGCTTCCCCCTAATCCACTCTCTAGCAGCCTGCAGAATCTTGTGAAGATTCAGGGAGTGCAGAATACAGCTGGTTGTTCTGATGAACTTTGTGTTTGAAGGGAGGAGGGGAGTGTTTCCATCTCCAGACCTCTGGGTGGAGCCACCCAGCTTTTCCCACCGAGACCCATGAAGAATAAAAGTGCTTAAACCAGCCTGAATCTTTTGTTAACTATTATTTATTTGTTGATGTTGGCTTGTGTTTTCATGAAAACTAAGGGCCTTTTTCATAGCAGTGCCCCCCTCCCCACTGCCCAGTTGTGGAATGCCCTTCCCAAAAAAGCACACCTGGCCATAGGTGCCAACTCCCTGGCACCCTGGATGCCTGAGTACCCACAAAATTCTCCATGAAAGGGCCAGACACCCACAAATTTCAGTGCCAGGGCCATGCACGCTGCATGGCACTCACACCCTGGGCACCCAAAGTTGCAGGGCCAAGTTGGCACTCCTGCACCTGATTCCTTCTCTAATGTATTTTCAGTGGCAGGCAATGATCTTTTGATTTTCTCCAGCTTTTAAAATGATAACGTGGACTTCCTATTACTTGGCTCTGGGGGGTTTCAAGCTCCTGCTCTCTTAAAGTGATGTGGTTCCAGGGTTGTATTTCTTTACTTTGTTTTTGAGTTGACAGAGTTTTGTTTCTTTTATGATATTGTTGTTACTGTTTCAGAAGCCAATCAGAAAACTTTTGTTATTGGGTGAAATATGAATTGTGTAAGTAAATATTGGTACTTATTACTTACACCAGTGGTTCTCAAACTTTTTGTGGTGATAGAACCCTTCATTTTAAGCATAACTTCAGCAGAACCCTTAAAAAAAATTTTTTTTTAAGTGGGTTTAGGAGTTGATTATTGGGGAAAGCAAGCAAGCAAGAGCCAGAGAGAGTGGCAACTTGGAGACTTCAAAAAACCTTGCTGTCAATCTCTTCATTTCCCTTAAGGGGAGAAGCCTGCCACCCTTAAGGCTTCATCTCTTATCTCTCTGTTAGCATTAAAGGAGCAACACACCTAACCCTAGCCACCAGGGTGCAACTTGATAGAAAGGATTCCCATAACAAGTGCTAGAACACCAGGGCTGGGCCAGGAGATTTTGCTGCCTGAGGCATAATGTATTGTGCTCCCTCCCAAGCCCCTCCTACCACAACAGGCAGGTGCACCACAGCACTATAGTGGCCACCCTGGAGAATCACTAGTGTCAGGATTATGGGGAGACATGGTAGGGTGGCTGCTGTCTGCTGCTGTTGCACAGCTGTGCAGTGCCAAGTCTCTTCCCTCCTCTTTGCCTTGTCACTCAAAGTTTTTACCCACTCTTCCTCCAGCAGCTCCCCTTCCACCAATGCAGCAACAGCTGTGGGTAATGCGCTCCTTGCAGGCTGGATCTGCCGCCACTCTGGATCCTGCCGCCTGAAGCAGCCACCTCACCTTGCCTGATGGGTGGACAGGCCCTGTTGAACAGCCTATTCAACCCAGTAAAGGGGTGGTGCAAGCAGGACACCATTGCTTACAGGACACCAGTAAAGGGTGTGTTGCACCCAGTTACCAGGAGGCATTGAGGAGGAGCAGATGGGCTCTGCTGATGTGGCCACATTGCACTCAGCTGCCTTGTCCTTCCACCTCTCGGTGACCAGCAGCATGAGGACACCAAGTGACTGTCCTTGCCTGTGCCATTCTGCCATGCACTATTGATTTAACCTTTGGAACCCCCAGGTTTTCAGGAACACAGTTTGAGAAATGCTGACTTATGCAGTGCTATCAATAAACATCAAAGTCAGTAAGTTGCCAGCCCTGGTTGGAGCCCTACTCTCCCTGAAGGAGCTGGTGTTCCTCGATCCAGCTCTATCATTGGAAGTGTAATTGGAAGAACAACAGAAGGAGGTGAAGGAGAGACAAGGGTTGGGAGGGAGGGACATGGACAAACGGTATTACACGTGCTCCAAACTTGGTTGCAGCTGGGATTAAAGGAGCAGACCCAAAACAACAGAGGTGGTCTGGAAAGGTAGAAAGGGGGTGGGGTGGGGGGAGAGAGAGCACCGATCAACATACATGCGTAAGGAAGGAGCTCTATGTGCTGGGGGCAGCAAGGGAGAATTTACAGAAGGGCAGGAAGGAAGAGAGGGACATTGCAACATGCATGTTCAGATCAGCATATATGTTCATGGAAGGAGCTCCGTACACCAGAGGGCAGCAGAAGGGAAATGCGTGGAACCAGGTATCTTCAAGCTGGAGAACTGGAGAAGCAGAGTACAGAAAGAGGGATACAGAGAGATTGTTTTTGTATTTCAGCTCTTGGTGATGGTATATTATCTATTTCATTTAGTTATGCCTGCTCGCATTTTAGATTGCCCCATTTTGATGAATTTTAATACTTTCCTTTTTAATTAGCTTTTCCCCTTTCCTCCCACCCTGTATGAACAGCTTTGGAGAGGCATTGGGGAATGAATGATTGAGATTGAAAAGATGCAGCTTGTCAATGATTGCTGGCAGCTGTTTTTGTCACAGGCCTATGGCACTGCTGCTTCTCTGGCCTCTTCTCTTAAGGAAATACCACTTACCGTATTTTTCACTCCATAAGACGCACCTGACCATAATACGCACCTAGTATTTAGAGGGGGAATGCAAGGGAAAAAAAATTCTTTAAAGGGAGCGCTGAGCAGAGCCTGTATGCATCCCAGGCTCTGCTCAGCGCTCCCTTTCACAAGCTGTGTGGAGCGTGTATGCTGTGCTTGCAGGCTTTTCCCCAAGGAGGGAGAAGGGCAGCCCGTCACTGATGGGTTGCCCTTCTCCCTCCTCAGGGAAAAGCCCCCAAGAGCTGCACACACGCCCTGCGCGGCTCTTGGGGGCTTTTCCAGGAGGTGAGGGAAGGGACTGAGGGGCTAAGCCAGAAGCTAGAACAGCAAGAGGGAGCACTGCGCAGCGATCCCTCTTGCTGTTCCGGCTTCTGGGATAGCTGCGCAGCCTGCATTCGCTCCATAAGACGCACACACATTTCCCCTTACTTTTTAGGAGGGGGAAAGTGCATCTTATAGAGCAAAAAATACGGTATTTTGGAACAGGGCTGCTCTACCATGCAACCTAGGGCATGAGTCTAATTTCTGAAGGTTCCCCCTCCAGTTAGGGTTGGAGGTCCTTTCATGGCCCAAGATCTGCACCAATGAGCAAGGAGTGATAATACTTAGATCTGTGTCAATAAAAACTTCACACTGCTGATTTCTGCATATCCAAACTCTTTTAAAGTGATAAAAACAAGACACATTGATTATGATTATTTTCTAGCCAGTTTACAAGTCTAGCTCCAAAACATTTGTTAACACACGACATATCTGTTGGGATACTTTGCAAACCTTCCATCCATGTCTTCCTTTAAACATGCCTTCTTGAAAGATTTCCCCCTAGTGAAATTGTGAAATTGTGAAATTGTGAAATTGTGAAATTGTAACTAATTCCTGGGAGCTTGCAGCTGCCACAGATTACAACCGTGGGAAAGGATTTGTGACCTTGCAGGACAATGTCTTCAGAAACACTGTTGGGTGCTCTCTGCAAAATAAATGCCCTATTGGATCAGTTAAGCCAGAAGACAGATTTGATGACTAATGCGGCCAGAACCTTTGAACAGGTAGTGGAAATTACATGGAGCCCACCCAGGAGCTAAAACAGGAGTGTGCCATGACAGAACAGCTGAGAGAAGAGGATGCTGCTGAATCTTGGGCGCCAGAGACGGAGGGAGCTGCGCCCAGCAGGAACATAAATTTTGGATTTGACAAATGAACTTGGAAAACCAGACTTGGAAAGATAAAGTTTGGTTTGGTTTGGAAATGGGAGTTGGACAGACCCCTATACAGGGAGATTTGGACTTTCGAGTCTGGCAATGGGCCATCAGATGTTTGGAGCTGTGGGGCTCTCAATTTTGGAGGGAATCTGAAACATGTTTTAAATACCACATGGAGTCTAGCCTGGACTATGGAAAAGGGCTGATTTGTTGAAAGGGTCAAAAGCATTACCAAGCTGGAGTTCCACAAATGAAAGGAAAATATGAAGAAGAGCTGCAGAAGGGACATGGAAGAGACTTGAGGGCTTCGGATATAAGATTACCAGGTTAATGTGCTAGATTAATAAGATAAAAAGGACTGACAAAACCCGGGACCAGGAGGAAGGGACGCTGGATGAAGATTGGATTGTTTATTTCTTTTTTATCATTAGGATTGTTCTATAAAATTGATGAATGCTAGAAAAATGTTGAAATGAAATTACTTGGCTCTTGTAAAAATGTCTAAAGAATTTGGTAAGAATGTTATGGCTAGGAGAAGTTGGTAAAAATAAGATTTAAGTTTTAAACTTTAAGGTTTTCTATAAGATAACATGAAAATAGATTAAGGTAATGTAATGACAGAATACTATGAATTATGGAAAGGATTTGCTGTGATTATTATTAATCAGGATACAAGAAAAGGGAGGAGGAGGAGGTCAAAGAAAGAAGGTATTGAAAGTGGAGAATTTGAGAATGATGGTTTTATTTTTTTTATTTTTTTCTGTCTTGCCTTTTTTTTGTGTGTAATTTAAAAAAATAAATAAACATGCCTTCTTGAAAGGAGGGAAATCTTTTGCTAGAGATAAACTACGGACTGTTCTTGAATGTGGAAGGTAAATGGTGTTTCTGTGCACTCTGGTTTCCATCATGGTGTTCTCCCTTGGTGGCGGCGGCAGCGATAAGTTGGTGCATGGTTCGGGGTGTGTCTCTGCTTCGTTATTTGTATAGCTCCAGAGGCCTCCAGGTCCCAGAGCTTTGTTGGGGCGCTCTAGGTCCCCATGGGATAATGATCTGGAGGAGGAGGCTCTGTGCGGCCTCTTCGCTTGTTGTTTTGGATGCCCTGGGCTCCCCCTTTGATTGCGTTGGTGGTGGTTGAAGGTGGCGCAGGGACCAGCCAGGCAGCTTGGTTGGTGCTGGCAGTCCCTAGGAGTTCAACGCAGCAATGGCGCTCACCATCTTGCCTTGCCAGAAGTCCTCCTCCACAGCTGACTCTAGTGTTATTTCCATTCCCCATCCAGCCACACCAACTTGCAGGTCTTCCAGGACTGATAGCAAGACAGTTCATGCCCTATTACAGAAAATAACCAGTGCTGAGAGTCGAGTGGGGGAGGAGAGAAATAAAGCCTGAACTATCATCAAATTCCGCATGTTCAACGCACACATGTATCCATGCACATGCACAAAACAACATTAAGCTGACTGTGCATTAAGCTGACAAACAGTTTGAACCCCAGCAGGAACTTGTTCCCAAGCCAAGTGTGGAAAGGTGGATCAGATAGAGCTGTGAACTTGAGACCCTGCCATGCATATATAATCTGTGCCTTTCCTATGTTTACTCTCTCCCTGCTCTCTCTCTCTCTCGCCTTCCTGGAAAGATGCTTGCTTCCTTGGGCTTGGTGGCTACCCTCCTTGCTCTCGGAACTTGTGCCCCTTTGCAAAGGGCAAGCAACCGCAGCAAGCTCCTTTTGGTTTCCTTCGATGGTTTTCGGTGGAATTATGACCAGGATGTGGACACCCCCAATTTGGATGCCATGGCTTATGATGGGGTGAAGGCTCGCTACATCACACCTCCCTTTGTCACCCAGACGAGCCCTTGCCACTTCACTCTGCTTACAGGTGAGTGCCCGGTCACTTGGGAGAGATGAGGACAGGACAGTGGGGCCCTAGGAAGCAGAAGTGGCAGCTCTTTAAGGACAGGAGCCATAATGCTAAAGGCTCAGTTTGGGGTGCATTTTAAGCGAACCTCTTGGACATGCATTACTCTTAGCACTGCCCCACCTGAGACCTGGCCCCATGTTGTTTAAGGCTAAAAATGTGAAGGGCAAAACCTGTGACATGGGCTGATAAGAATTGAAGTCCAAAACAGCATCACCTTCCTAGACTCCTTGCTGTGCTGGATTCTCAAGAGCCAGGTCAACCATCAGTGACACACTGGCATGTGGATCCAAGGGTGGCAACTAAGCCACATCCATGGGAATTATTTGGCATCAGTTTCTGTGATGCTGGAACAGGCATAGGTGAGATAGCAGTTGGCCCATAGCAGAGGGCAAAGAAGAAACATAGGCAGGGGAAACAGAGCAAAATGAGCCTGAGAAGAAGGGGACATAGCAATTTCATGCTGGCAACAATCTACTGGAAGAATATCTAGAATTGAGGCTGATCTGCCCCAAGAAGGTTCTGCACCAGTCTCCTGCCGATTATAAGACAGGGAGTCCATCAGAGTCTGCAAAGTTCAAGGGCTAACTTGGGAAGATCCTACCATTTGCAAAGACTTGACTGGTCTGCAGCTGAGGGATCTGAATGTTTGGGTCTCCAGCTGTCTTCAGTAATGGAAGTTGCTGGAAACCACAGGAGGTGGGAGTGCTCTGGTGCTCAAATCCTGCTTGCAGGTTTCTCACAAGCATCTAGTTGCCAGACAGGATGCTGGACTAGGTGGGTCATTGGCCTGATCCAGCAGGCTCTTCTTAATGTTCTTATGGAAGGGACTCTGACACAGTGGCCCCTGGGGATGAGTTCCCAGTCCAGCAAGTACGGCAAATGGAGATGCACCCACCCACTCCTACTAGCAGACAGCTTGTAACTAATGCCAAGTTCGACTCTCCCCTGGCAGGAAAGTACATTGAGAACCATGGTGTGGTTCACAACATGTGGTACAATGTCAGCACCGGACAGAAGCTTCCTTATTACAACACACAGGGGAAGTCTGAGTGGTGGGATAATGGCAGCCTCCCCATCTGGATCACAGCACAAAGGCAGGTAAGCCATAAACCCACAACACTTCTACGGAACAAAATGGGGGCCCTCTTCTGGAACTTGCCACTGAAAGAAACAGACAGACAGACAGACAGACAGACAGACAGACAGACCAACAAGTTCCACATTCTCATGAAGTTAGTTTTGCATCTACCTCTGCATCATTTTCATCAAGCCCATCCCTGGTCTGGCTAAGTAAAGCATCCAGGCACATACCATCTTCACAGACATTGGTAATATCACAGGTTTTTCTTAAGTAGGGATGGGGGGAAGCTGGTGCCCTCCAGGCTTTGTTCTCAGTGGCCAGGCTGGCTGGGGCTGTTGGGAGAGGGAGCCCAGCAACATCATCCCAATTCCCATCACCCCTGGCCATTGGTCCTGCTAGCTAGGGATGACGGGGGTTGTAGTCCAAAAAACAGCTGGAGACCCAAGTTTGGGAAACACTGAGAAGCGTCACAGGTTCCCCCAACCCTGTCCTAAAACTACTATCTTAAAATTAATTGGAGAATCAGCCCGTTGAAGAAGTTTTTAGGAATTCATTACCACGGCCAGAAGACTTGGAGAAAGGTTGTCAAAGAAGTTTCTGTTGAAGGGCCTTCCCTCAAGGGGTAGAAACATTGGGCCCTTTGTTGAAGGGCCTCCCCCCAAGGAGCTGGACATCAGATGAGCCCCCATCATGTATCAGGATGGCAAAGTGATGGATGTCAGGAACTGGCCTCTCTGTGATTATGGCTACCAAAGCACACATCACGATGACAGAGGCCACACATACGGCAAGAAATCTCGGGAGAACTGCTGTATATCTTTGTGCTCGGTGCCCAGAGACACAATATGACATATGGATGCCTTCCTTTGAATCATCTCCCGGTGGAAGCCAAGCCACCATGTGTTGGGGCAGGATCTATGGGCCTCTCCAAAAAGGTGCACTCTGGACTTGATGGTTTCACAGGGGGTCTCTTCTTTAGATGGTGATGCCTATTACTTCACCTACTTCAAAATCTGGCCAGCCAGCCCAGCTGAATTTGAGGGTCTTCCTGTTCATTTCCCTGATGGGGACTGGACTGGACTGCCCTGATCCTAGAGCAACACTTTCCTTCTGCTGCATGCAGTCATACACACACCCACAGACCACCCCAGTAAAGGACCCAAACTGACATTGCATGCAGTTATGAGTTTCTTTCCACATATGGTTTTATTTAATGAATGAATGAATAATAAATATTTGTTTCTGCTTTGCTTAGCAGACAAACAGATGCATGGGGGGAAAGGAAGAGCTTTACAGAGGCACTTAAGCCTCATCCACCTGCATCACTGGATGCTCTGGCAAGCCCTGAGCTGCCCAGCTTTGTGCTGGCTTTTGAGGGTTCACCCTATACTACTGGCAATGCGTTTCCAAGGCTTTCTCTGCAATCTTGAGGGCTAAAGATTTAGGATGCCCAATTGTGCACCCAAGGCCAGAGAACCTGTGTTTGCATCATATGCAGCTCGGATCAATTATTGTGCCAGTTTCTAGGTCTGTGATTTTTCATCCTAGGGTTTGAAGACAGCCTCCCTCTTCTTCCCTGGGGGAAATGCCACCTATCATGGAGAGCAGGTGATGGTGAAGAGGGTGGAGAAACTCTTTCACAAGTACAACAACGAGACCGAGTGGAGGCAGAACATTGACATAGTCATGAAGTGGTTCCTCGAGGAAAACCTTGACTTCGTCGCCCTTTACTTTGGTGAGCCCGACTCCACTGGACACAAATATGGCCCAGAATCCCAGGAGAGGAAAGACATGGTCAGCCAGGTGGACCGGACGGTGGGTTACTTGAGGCAGCGCCTTGAGGAGACAGGCCTGAGCTCAAACCTCAACATGATCATCACATCTGACCACGGCATGGAAACGGTGATAAAAACAGATGAAATTCACCTTCAGAAAGTGCAGAACTTCTCTTTCCAGGACATTAAGTTTGAGCTGGTAGACTATGGGCCACATGGTCTACTGGAACCAAAGCCAGGGAAACTAGAACAAGTTTATGAAGCCCTGAAAAATGCTCACCCCAAGCTCCACGTCTACAAGAAGGAGGAATTCCCCAGGAGGTTTCGTTATGCCAACAACACACGGATCACGCCTCTTGTGCTATATGGTGACCCCGGCTACGTGATCCATGGGGTATGTATGGTCTTATCCACTGTACTTCCAGCTTATCTCTTTTCTTTCCTTATTCTGTCTTCTGTTTTGTGCATGAGAAACAGAAGGGAAGTCTACTTAGGAGGGCAGGGGGAAGCACAGACAGCAATGTTTCGGTGCATGAATTGGAGTCCAAATAGCACCTTCCCACACTGGCAGACTTTGGGCTTTCAGATTTCAGTGGCGACCTGTGTGACGCTAAAATTCGGCATCCCCACTCCCCACATCCCCATTCTACATCATTGTTGCAGCACCCTCTGCAGCATAAGTACAGGCAAACCAGTCACGTTCCCCTAAATCCACCACTGCAAGGGCCAACACTTGAAAAAGTCTTGTTTGACAGCAATCCCTGTCTTCTTTTATCTCCTTGATGGTGCTGCCTAAAGCAGTCACTTCACCCTGCTGCCTAGCAAAGCCAGTCCTAGTAGTAGATGTCCCTTTGTGCATTCTGGCAAAACAGTTCTCTGTTTCTGTCTGCTTGTAATCCTTGCTTTCCATTCCCACCGAACAAGCATGGATGCATCCTGTCCACCTAGTGATATGTGGTGGTGGAGTCACCAGAACTGACCTTCCTTGGCCTCACTTTTCTCATGCTGTCTTTCCTTCTGAAGAAAGACAAGAGTAGGAAGAGGGTTGCCACTTCTATGGCCGCCACCTAAGGCTGCCTTTGAACTGAGCTCTGCTCTTGTAATTTATATGTTCCCATCTCCTGTGGTAAGCTCCCCAAATCCATTCTGTTGACCAAGGAATCTGAAAGAAAGGGCTAGTTCTGAAATCCTGGTTCTTGTGGGAAACTTTGAATCGGGAATATGGATCCAGTTGAGCAATATGAGAGCCTTTGCAACATAACATAGCCTAGCGGTTAATTATGGTGATATCCCGTCAATATTTATGCCCCCCTGTTTTGTTTCTAGTGGAGGTATTGATGTAAATATGACAGGTTGACTGTTTCACGTGGCATTTACACGGAACCAGATGGGTTCAATACATTTTTTAAAATTGGGTTTATATTAGAAATTTTGCTTAAACCAGATTTTTAACAATTTAGTTATAGTAAATGTTTAACATGTTTGTATTCACACACACACACGCCTTAACTTCAATCATCTCTCAAACAGATCAAGTTAAAGTACATTTTATGTTATATTTATTACAGTGGTCTTCCTAGTGGACTCAGGAACTAGCAAGTTATCACAAGGAGAGGCTATGAAGGGATCTACACTCATGGTTTATAACATTAAGAAAGGGTTAAGGAAATAATTTCAAAAATGTAAGCAACATGTTATGTGTTGCTTAGAACATTAACAATGCATTATTAAAATGTGACACCAGAAGGCGCTGCAGAGCAACCATGAACCAATAGTAAGGGAAACTGCGGAGGTAATGAACATTTTTTAGCAGTATGCCCTGTGACGTTTTAGAAGGATATAGCTAATATCGTTCTAAAAACATTAAAAAGGTCAATGTAGATCCAACCTATTTTGAATATCAGAGTTCATATGGATGACCTCATGCTTTTATTTTATGTCATCCTGATTTTTGCAGTTGTTACATTATGGATACTTAGGACTCTACTAAGGAAGTGTCGCATTGAGAGAGCTTCCTGTCTCATTCAGAGAAACAATTTTGCCCCGTAATTAGCAGCTTTTGCTTATGGATACTTACAGCCCATTCCCATGCATACATACACACTCAGAAGCAAGTGTCACTTTGTTCAGTGGGTGCACTTCCTATAAGCTTGCAAAGAACTGCAGTCTCGCAGCACAATCTCATGCATGTTTAGCCAGGAGTAAGCCCTGGCTGTGTTCCATCAGGATTCTTCCTTAGAGGCTATGATTGCAGACTCACTCTTCAAACAAGACCTTGCTTAGTATCCTTACAGGTGTATAGAGACAAACAGAAATCTGTCTCTTATCTGCCATGTACATGGACTGCACAGCCAGAGGTTGTGCTCTTAGGTTGTATGGAGGCACTCTTAATTGCAAAGCAATACACTGGGTTATAGCAGCCAGGTAGTATGCATATTTGTTCAGGAAATATAAAGCTCTCAGTTTTGAAGTTCATTTCTCAATTACTGCGAAGCTAGCTTAGGGGACACAAGGCACATTTCAAATAGCTCACTTTTGTCCTACCCACTGTGCCTAATGGTAGGGCTGGCCCTGATATACAGCACAACAGATGAAAAATGTGCTGTTTCGTTGCTTTGTTACCGCATAGGAAAGCTGGGGAAGTACCAAGGCAAAATGTGCAGTAGGTTATGCCCTGTCCTTCCTTTTCAGAGAATCAAAGTGCAATTCAATAAAGGTGAACATGGATTTGACAATGAGGTTATGAACATGAAGACTATATTCCGAGCTGTGGGACCAGCCTTTAAGAAAGGTCTGGAGGTGGATCCTTTTGAAAGTGTGAATATTTATGCCCTGCTTTGCGAACTCCTGGAGATTACACCTGAGCCACATGACGGATCCTTAAGTGTCACACAGAACATGCTGGCCAAAAATGCAGGTATGATTTTGCTCCTTAGGAAACTTTCAGTAGAACTGCAACCAAAGCATTCAAGGATGCAACCAACAAACGGGTCAATTAACTGATTAAATCCAAACTGGTAAATTCTGATGAATAAGGTCAGCGCTGTAGAATTTCAGCGACATCCATAGAAAGTCCCTTATATCAGACTTTTCCAACCTGGTGCCCCTGCAGAAGTTTCGAAATACAACTCCCATAATTCCTGAACATTGGCCATGCTGGCTGGGGCTGATGGAAGCTGGGAGTTCAAAGCATCGGGGGGGGGGGGGGAGGGTGTTACTAGCATGGCTAAGGATGCATTACCTGAACCATCAAACCCCAGATATTGTGCTGTTTTATAGACCAGAATTGACTCCTAGGGTGGTACCCACTGTTAGTCGTATATTGATTTCAATGGATGTGTTCTAGCTAAGGAGCTGTAATCATCATCATCCTTTATCATAGGAGTAGGAGGGATCTGCAGCCCTCCAGATATGGGGCTTTGATTCTCACTGGCCCCAGGCAGCGTGGCCAATTGCTAAGAGTGATGCAATTTGTAGCCGAACAACCTCTGGTGGACCACACTTGCTTCAGGCACCAAAGGACTTCTGTGCATTATAATGACATTTGACATGGAGAAATGTAAAAAAAAATAATGGGTCCAATACAGAACACATTTACTTTTCCTACATACTGAGCTGAAATGTTGCCCAAAATGAACATTTCCCCCTCTAAACCACACAGGCTAGTCTACTCTGCAGCCAGTGAGTTGGGATCAGGTTACCTGAGCATTCAACAGCATTCAGTACTAGCTACTATGAAGAGGGGTGTAGAAAAGCAGAAGGAAATTGAGGAGGACCTTCAGCCTGGTTCCCCAACATTAGCTCTACAGCAGGCACACCAAGCAGTAGCCTATTTTAACTAATAACTATTAACAAGGTAATCTGCAAATGAGTGCCATCCTCCCCAAACTCAATGACGCTGCTTCTTTCACAGCTCACTCCAATAAGCCTCATGTTGTAATTGAAGGCAGAAATTAAAACAAAAAACTCCTTCTATTATTTGATGGCTGCTGGGGGGTTTACCAGTCATAGGGCTCTCTGCTATTTCTGGGGCAGGCTCTCCTCCCAGTTGCATTTTACTAAAGCTCAGATAGGTCATGCAACTTGGAATAAACAACCAGACATCTCTCATTGGAGAGTAGCTGTGATCTGTCAGATGGCCTATAGAGTGGTTGGAAACCCCCCCCCCCCACTTCCAGGAAGGTGGTAGAGCAGATTTGGAGGTCACCCATGAGGCAAAACAGAGAGGTTGAAAAGAGCTCGTTAGCAAGGGATTGATTAAATGGTCCCATGGATAACATCCCCAAGGACATGAGGTTTCAATCAAAGGTAACCTTTGCTGGCAATAGGCAGAAGACCCCATAAAATGTGAACTCTTAAGTTTGTCTTAGCATACTGGCATGGTATTAGTTTTGAAAGTAATGACCATGGTTTCCATCTATGAGAATAACCCTCAGGCTTGCATGCTGCTCTCTTCATCTCTTCCCTGTGTGCCTGGGACATTTGAACTTACGGAACTGTGGCTTGTTTCAACTATGGCTTCAGAACATAGCCAGGATCTGAAGCCACGGTTTGTTCCTGGCCCTCTTACTGATGTCCTTTCTCCATGTTGCATGTCCATTAAATGCACAGAGGTGCTTTCACACAGTGCAATCCTAAGAAGGGCTACTTCGGAAGTAAAACCTACTGAGTTCAAGGGGACTTGCTCCCTGCCCTCCAGCTCACATGATGGTTAAAACACTTAGGTCTCTCTCTGTGCCCTTCCCATCACCATGAACACTCTCCTGGATTTTTTTCCTGATCTCTGTGCTTCTATCTACAGGCGCCTCTTTGGAATGTGAGTATTGCAATGGAACAAACAACTGCACGGGTCTGAAGCGGCCTTGTCCCAGTGGCCAAGATGCCTGTTCAATCTCTCTGCTTGAAGTCCCCAGTTCAAAAGACAAAAAAATAAGCAAGAGCTGTGCATCCTCCGAGACCTGCAAATTGGGATTGATCGAGGTGACTCATGGCAAAGGGAATTTCATGCGGGAAAGCATCACCTGTTGCAAGGAGATTGACTGCACACCGGCCACTCCTACGTTTCCACCACAGAGCACCAAGCCCAATGGAAAGTCTTGCCCGGGCTGCTTTTCTCCCACAGGAAAGTGTACCGCAGAAGTGGTGGATTGTACTGGCTCAGACACTTACTGCGTTAGTTTTGTTACATCGACAGACGAGAATGTCATAAACTACAACATGAAGGGCTGCATAAGTGAATCTTCCTGTGGCCTGTTAAAAACACACAAAGAGGGTGTTTTTGGTAACAACGGTCCTATAAAGAATGTAACATGTACCCAAGCCAACAATACTTCTACTTCTCTCTCTCCCTCATTTGGATTCCTCCTCCTGGCTCTCCTCCTGATTACGCTTCTCTTGTAACAAGCCGCTTGCAGCATCTCAACACCACTTGTTTTGCGTTTCAAAAGGAATTTGCCTTCTTTTTCATTTTTTCACTGAGTGAAATAAATAAAAAGTTGAAAAGGAATGAGTTTCAAGTCATTGTCTGGTTCTGCTGATCCACTGAACAGAGGTGAAATAATTATTTCCCCGAATTCAGCATGGGGGGCGGGCATTTCAAGCAGCCTTGCTCTGCTTGAAGTAAGTGATAATTTAATAAATGCAATGTTTTGCTGAGAGAAAATTAATACAGTGGTACTTCGAGTTACATACACTTCAGGTTACAGACTCCGCTAACCCAGAAAATAGTACCTCGGGTTAAGAACTTTGCTTCAGGATGAGAACAGAAATCGTGCAGTGGCGGTGCAGCGGCAGCGGGAGGCCCCACTAGCTAAAGTGGTGCTTCAGGTTAAGAACAGTTTCAGGTTAAGAACGGACCTCCGGAACGAATTAAGTACTTAACCCGAGGTACCACTGTACAAGTTTTTTGTTTTTGTTTTTAAAGGCATGGGGGGAATTGGACTTGCTCCCACCTAAGTGGCGATTAAAATTGCAACCTCAGCCTCTCATCTCTTGGCCTCCTGTAAGCAATTACAATGATCACAGCAGAGGTGGTTTGGTCACACTGGGTGCCAAGTCTCAGGGGCACTGCAACTATGATGTAGAATGGAAGGTGAGAGGTGGGGGGTTTGGCAAATTCTTTGGCATCGCACAGCTGAAATTTGTGACCCCGAGGGCCGCCACTGAACACAGCAGCTGACTTATTTATTTATTAAATTTATATCCTGCACCTTCTTCCAAAGGTGAAGCAAGCAAGTTATACAAGTTTTATCCTCTATCCAAAGGAGAAACTGATTCACACAATGAATATATCCTGCCCTCCACCACCCCCCCCAGCAACTATCAGGATGCATTGCACACATCAAATTATGGACGGACGAACTGGTTTGTTTATCAAGGTGCATGCAAATATCTACTATGGGTCAATTCACAATGTTATGAGAATTATAAGGTCTAAGATATAAAATAAATGTACCAGGCAAACACAATCATAAATATTTAAACTACATGTCTGAATCAGTACAGGAAAAATCCTGAAACCATTTTGTCTCTTCCAAATTGACCTCAAATATTTCTCTGCAAGGTCAAAGAAAATGGGGAGCCTCCCCATCATCTCTTTGCTCACAAATCCTGTCTCAAGGGTACATTTAAGATATGAATAGGGTGAGCCTGTGACCTGGATTCAGGAATTGAGTAGTTATCATAACAAAAGAGTGGCCTGGATGCCCAGGTAATCCAATCAGGTAACCTGGCAAACAGGATAAAAACAAAGCACTCAGATTTCTGTTGTAGTCCGCCCCTTCTTTGATGTAAGTATGATGTATTGGGGGGTGGTCTTGGGCTACACCCCTTCTGTGATGTATGTCTGATGTATCGAGGGGTGGTCTTGAGCTCCAGGGTGGGCAGTTCAAAAGTCTATATAAGGGCTTGCACGCATGGTTCGGGGTTCTCTTCCTGCCTCCAGTGTGTTGCAACAGCTTTAATAAAAATCAGGCTTACTAGCTGCTTTGCTTCTCAATATTCTCTGGTTTGCCTCTGTTATTTTCTCCTACCAATAGAGAACCTAAAAAAGGACTCTATATGGGCTCTTGGGTACCCCATAAGGGGAAAGGAGCAGTTTTTTCTTATAACACAAAGCATTGACTTTCTTCCTGTGGGATGTGCTCAGGCATATGCAGAATGCTTAAGGCGAGTCAGGTGTTGATCCAGCAGCCATCATTGTGACAAAATCTTGCTTTCTCCATCACTGTTAGAGCATGGCTACCCATGGATGTATGAGGAATGAAGTTCAGTAGTGCTTTTTATTATGGGCCAAAGGCTCCATTTACATAGTTCTCACACAACAGCAATACTGCATGCACATTGAGCACAGGGCTGCATGGGAACCCACCGCCATGCCCACAGCACAGCACAATCGTTACATGCCCCGTGCTTGATGCCCTGATCCTTCTACCACTTGAGATGGAAGGGGTGCAGGAACCAACCTTCTGCCTGATACACACGTGGTGGTGGCAGCTTTACAGACACCCCAAAACTCCTGCATGGACAGCTACAGGACATTTTTGTTTAAATGGTGGCATCTAGTGGACAAGCTGCTGCACCACAGCTTACGTCGTCTTCTTGCGGCAGTGAAAATGAGATTCTTATTGCCTTGAAATTGAAATACAGTAACTGCAAAATCTGTCGTTCCCCCCTGTGCGCTCACACACACATTAAGCGACTCCTTTACACCCCATGCTGCCTTTCTGTGAGCTGAAAGGGACCACAAAATCATTTATGCCAACTTCTGCAGATCTCCCCTCTTTGCCTAACGCAAAGGAGCTGCACAAAGCAGTGGTGCTGTGTCACTTTTCTGCCTTCTGCATTACAGGGACTTGGAAACAGGCGCCATGCTCACATGCGCTCCTTAAACTCATGGCTGGGATTCCTTGCGGTGTGCTTGGGCAAGGGGTATTTTCCAGCTTCCCAGGAAAGACAGCAGCAGGGTACGGTGAACTGCAACTGTGTTCACGATAATAGTTAGCCATTGCTACTGCACAAAGGACAGCCATCTTAAAATAGCTCCCACACATTCTGCTTCCCAGACGCTGCTGGAAGTCTGCTGGCTCTCCAGGAACATTAACCCACAAATAGCCAGACACTCTTTATTACAAAATTTGCATTTCTTCAACATGCAAGGAAAGAGCTGCTCTGCAGTGCCTTCAAGGGACCAGAGAGGCAGGCTCTTGTCACATTCTATCAATTCAGTGTGTGTTCCAACAGAAATACCTGCAGGCAGGTGTGCCGCTCCAAGGCCCATCCTTTGCTCTGCATCAGACTGCGACAGAGGCATCTGTCTCTCTGTTACAGCACTTCGGGGAAAGGGGTTCCTTAGCAGTACTGCTTGGAATCCATCCCATTGCCCATTCCAAGTTCATAATCAAACATATGCAAATTTTTCACCTGCCCAGAGCGTTGTTGGATTTCTGGATTGAAGGATGGTGGCTAACTCGGGCTTTGCAAGATCCCTGCATTGAAGTGTCAGGAACAGCTGCGCTCTGCCCCATGTGGTGAACCACATTGCTGAAGCGTCTCGGAGCTAGACTGGTTCTAACCACCCAGGTTGTTCACTAACTCCTCCAGTGCAGGAAAGAGTTATAGGAGGGTCTCCTGGCTCATTGGCTAGTTTTGCTGTGAGCTATTTTTCTGAGTCGTGCAGAGTGCTCCAGTGGTTTCACCCTCGAAGCCCTAGTGATGAAGTAGACTCCACACACAAGACTTTGAAGATGACTCTTTACTTGCAGGATGGCAACTATTAGCAAGAAGTATTATTTATGCAATACAATGCGTTTCTCTCCCTTGAGCCCAAGAGAGGGTCTTCTTGCTTCTGAAACTCCTTCGCAGCAGTGCATAAGTTATCAGTCCATGGCTTGCCTGCCCTCTCAACCTCCTCCAGACACAGCATCTGCTTGACATTTCCACACTCCCATGTTGGCAAGATAACCAGCCAACTTTCAACTCCCACTCCTCCTATCTAAGACTAAGACTAAGACACACACACACTTTTAAAGGGAGTTAACAAATTAACAAGGCAAAGGCTCAGCATTTCTGTGACCTTAATTGGAGTCACAAGATTTTGCAGCTGTTATTACATTACATTACATCGCATTACATATGTTTTCTTTTTCCCCATACAATTTATTCTTTATAAAATACCTTTTCTAGCAAATAAGGTACAAATACTAACATCTGTTTGAGCAACAAGCCCTAATTTAGCTCTGGTATGTCTTATACAAAGGACGCAGGTGGCGCTGTGGGTTAAACCACAGAGCCTAGGACTTGCCGATCAGAAGTCGGCGGTTCGAATCCCTGTGACGGGGTGAGCTCCCATTGCTCGGTCCCTGCTCCTGCCAACCTAGCAGTTCGAAAGCATGTCAAAGTGCAAGTAGATAAATAGGTACTGCTCTGGCGGGAAGGTAAACAGCGTTTCCGTGCACTGCTCTGGTTCGCCAGAAGCGGCTTAGTCATGCTGGCCACATGACCCGGAAGCTGTACGCCGGCTCCCTCGGCCAGTAAAGCGAGATGAGCGCCGCAACCCCAGAGTTGGTCACGTCTGGACCTAATGGTCAGGGGTCCCTTTACCTTTATGTCTTATACATCTATAACCTTGCTCTTGAGTTCTGCTCTTTATTTTTGACTCCCAGTTCTTGGCTCCAGACTGGTACCCATGGCCTGAGCCTGACCCAAAAGGGCTTCCATGCTTTGTCCTTCTTGTGGGCTTCCTGAAGGCCAATCTGGCCAGTCACAGATGGAAGCAGGATGCTGAATAAGACAGACCCTTAAATTGATCCAACAGATGGGCTCTTCCTGTATTCTGACAGGGTGGAGACAATGTACATCACATCATAACTCAGATGCAGCACAGTGTGGACAGAGCAATCAGGTCAGTATGCACTGACTCCCGCCCCCCTTTTTTGCAAAATGTCTGCATACACACTATACCTTTAAAGCACATCCACTCCTCCCCCCAAAAAGAATCCCGGGAACTGTCATTTGTTCAGGGTACTGGGAATCATAGGTCTGTGGAAGGTAAACTACTGTTCATAGGATTCTTTGGGCAAAGCTATGTGTGTACACGGGATGCAGGTGGCGCCGTGGGTTAAACCACAGAGCCTAGGACTTGCGATCAGAAGGTCGGTGGTTCGAATCCCCACGGCGGAGTGAGCTCCTGTTGCTCAGTCCCTGCTCCTGCCAACCTAGCAGTTCGAAAGCACATCAAAGTGCAAGTAGATAAATAGGTACCACTCCAGCAGGAAGGTAAACGGCGTTTCTGTGCGCTGCTCTGGTTCACCAGAAGCGGCTTAGTCATGCTGGCAACATGACCCGGAAGCTGTATGCAGCTCCCTCAGCCAATAAAGCGAGATGAGTGCCGCAACCCCAGAGTCGGCCACGACTGGACCTAACGGTCGGGGTCCCTTTACCTTTACCTTTATGTGTGTACACAGCCTAAAATCACAACCAGGTGTTTGGGGGGGGGAAGAGGGGACCAGAATCCAGTGCTGAGATCCTGTGAGAGATGTTTTCATATATAACGAAGCATATATTCAGATGTATTCCAATGGCACAATAGGATCTGAATATAACCTTCATGTTATACTGGCTAATTGTCTTTTCTGCATTTGGTTTTTAACTTCCTCTGACAAAGAATTACAGTCAAAACGTGTTAGGTATAAGGAGAATGCTTTCAGAAATAAACCGTGTTATTTCTTCAGCATCTTGTGAGGCTTGCCCCCGTGTGTTTTTGGGATTGATTCCAGCCTCCCCACCCCCCACCCCAACCTCCATTCCTCCTACCAAACCACTAATTGGCAGGTGTCTAGCTTTTGAAAATGTGCTGCTTTGCAGGCAGCTCCAGCTTTTGGGCCAGCAAGCTTAACCCCCTCATGCCACACCCATCCATGCATACAGCTCCTCACCCAGCATTGTGGGCACATGTGGGAGCCTGCCTTCCATGCACAGGTAGACTCTTCCTGGATCAGAGCTGTTGTTGTTTAGTCGTTTCGTCATGTCCGACTCTTTGTGACCCCATGGACCAGAGCACGCCAGGCACTCCTGTCTTCCACTGCCTCCCGTAGTTTGGTCAAACTCAAGCTGGTAGCTTCGAGAACACTGTCCAACCATCTCGTCCTCTGTCATCCCCTTCTCCTTGTGCCCTCAATCTTTCCCAACATCAGGGTCTTTTCCAGGGAGCCTTCTGTTCTCATGAGGTGGATCAGAGCAGGTGGTGGCAAATACAGGTTTCTTGCTGTGTTTAGGTGTACAAGGAAACCTGGGTGGCTTATTGCAGCTACCCAAAGCATACACACATTATCACCACGCATCATCTGCTTCTGCTTCCTTTGACATAGAAAGATTGCAATATGTGAAATGCTTAAGAATTGTGAAGTCAGGACGTAGAGGTGTAGCCACTGATGGAAGCACTGAGTGGCAAGGGAGGCTGGTCCATTAGAGTGAATAGGGCATTGCTTCACCAACCTCAGCCAGCACCCCAATCTGCCTGCATTCTTAATCACATCCAATTTGTAGCCATAGCTACTTTGAAAGCAACCAGTTTTTGCCCGAGATAATGAAATGGATGAGAGCCAACAAACTGTAGCACAATCCAGATTAGACAGAGGCCCTGCTAGTGGGCAGTTCCCTAGACCAGATGGATGAGAGGATGCCAGCTCTAGATGGGATTACACTCCCTCTGAAGGAGCGGGTATGTAGCTTGGGGGTCCTTCTGGATCTATTGCTGTTGCTTGAGGCTCAGGTGGCATAGGTAGTGCCTTCCATCAGTTGCAGTCGGTGGCCCAGCTGTGCCCCTAATCTGGGCAGGTATAGCCTAACTTCTGTCGTCTATGCTCTAGTGACCTCTAGGTTAAACTACTGCAATGAGTTATACGTGGGGCTGTCTCTGAAGACAGTTTGGAAACTTCAGAATTCGGTGGCCAGGTTGCTCACAGGGGCAAGATGGCTTAAGCCTATTACACTGATCGTGGCTGTGGCGTTTGCACTCCTATGTGTGTGACATCATACTGGGTTCATAGGGAAAGGGTTAACTAATTGTAAAATGACTAACTAATGGGAACCCAGGGGGCAGAGTTAACTGTGTATAAGGTTAAAGCACAGAGGTTTTTTAGAGAGTTAGAGTTGTTGAGAAGACAGTCTGGAGTTAGAACAGACAGAGAAGATAAGTCTGTGGGTTGGGCTAGTCTGGTGTGAGAGAGTGAGAGAATTTGTTAAGAGGAGTCAGTCAAACGGTTGAGATAATCAGTCAGAAGGTATTAGGAAGGTATAGGCCGGTAAAGAAACTGACAGGAATATTATCTGAGAAACCATAAACTTGTTAATGTTTGTAAAATAAACTTGTGGGGTTTTTTGTTCACTTTTAACAACTGACTGGACTCAGTGTTTTACCAGAGTGTAACTGGTTGGTGGCAGCGGGGAAGCGAGCACAGTGGTGGCACAGGGATCAATAGACCATTAAACGTCCGGGGACCCTGTGTGATCATCACAGTGGCCCAACTACACTGGCAACCCAGTAGCTTCTGGGCCCAATTCAAAGTGCTGGTTTGGCTTGCCTGGTTCCTTCATTACATACCTTTAGGGACCAGGCAGAAATGTTTCTCTTCAACCTGGTATTCAGCTGATTAACATTCTGTGGCTTTTAAAATGTGTTTGTGGGAGGGGGTTTATTGGTTTGTTTTTGTTTTACTGAGTATTTTGAATTCTCATTTCGTATTTTTCTGAACCGCCCTGGGCTCTTCAGATGAAGGGGGTTATACCAATTTAACAAATACAGTGGTACCTCAGGTTAAGAACTTTATTCATTCTGGAGGTCCGTTCTTAACCTGAAACTGTTCTTAACCTGAGGTACCATTTTAGCTAATGGGGCCTCCTGCTGCCCCCCCCCCCCCCCGCCGGAACACGATTTTTCTCATTCTGAAGCAAGGTTCTTAACCTGAGGTACTATTTCTGGGTTAGTGGAGTCTGTAACCTGAAGTGTATGTAACCTGAAGTGCCTGTAACCCGAGGTACCACTGTAATAAGATTAAGAAGATGCAAATGATGCCCAGGACTCCCCTAAATGGCCACACCATCCTTCCATACGAACACTAATCTCCCTGTCTGGGGGAGAGTGGTGGTGTTCTTCAGTGCTGCTGAATAATACAGGTGATGCCAGAAGCTTGGCGTTTGGCACATCTAGGCTTTGAAGAAGATGAAAGCTCCTTTTACTCTTAATTTTCATTTTGATTGTTGGCTGCTTTATAACATCACAAGATGACCAAACTGTGTGTCAAATGCATTCAGAACTGCTGTGATGTGAGGCAGAAAAATCTCGAGCACCTTATTCCCACCCCCCCACCCCCCGGAAAGTTTTCTGTTTCATAAGTGCATTAGTCATAATAAATGGATGCCAACTGCAATATTAGTCAAGCTTGGCAATTTCAAAGTTTGTTTATTAAATGCAAGTAAAACAAACATGCTTCAATTAGCTCACTCTTCTCAGGCACCAGAAAATTTTCACATGCAAACTAAAAATTTCCGGATGCAAATCATCCCACGTCATTTTAATTTCCGTAAGATTTTCCCCAGGAAGTTTTCCTAGTTCAGAATTTTCTGGAAAACCCCCACCACTGGTGCAGTATGCAAGCAAGACACTGGGGAGAACTTCATCTGTGTTTACATGGGATGGACTCCATGACTTCTACCACTACTAAAGCATTTTCAAGATGGAGCCAGCTGGTGAATGGTATAAATGCAGTTCTCTTCCATATGTTTTAGACTTTGTTGAGAAGCACAGAACCACTATTGGCTGGAAGATGACATCTGATACAAATTCAAGGCAACATTCACTAGAAGAACATTGGTACATATGCCTTGCCAGGTGAAATGATTCAGAAGAATAGAATAATGTCTCACAATTGCATTTTTAGGTCTTCACAGGGGAAATGAGTGTTATAGCACCTAGACAGCACAAGATAGTAATCCCAGTGAACAAAACATACACTTCAAGAAGCACCTATCAAGCTCTCTACTGGATCTGTCAAGAAGTCTCTTGCATTCATTACTTATTCACACAAGAGAGGTGTACTTCCATGCTTGAATAGAAACAACTCTCTGGAGTTGTTGTCTGTCTGAATGTGAAACAGCCCTCAATCACACCGGATACATACATTCTATTGGCTAGAGTGTTTTATTTGTGGGGGGAGGGGATAAGACTTGAGAAGCATACCTCTACCCACCATCATATTTGTCTAGATAAATAACTTTTCCCTGCCTCAGCTTGCCTCACACACAAAATAGCGATCCCTGACTAACTTGTGTGATTGACAGGATTTATGCTTTCTGGAGCATTCATGAAGAGTGTTCTGAAATATATATATACAGTAGAAGGTATTCAGAGTACACAAAATAGTCTCCCCATGGTTCTGATATCAGTCAGATGCTAGCAAAAAAAAGAAGGGGGGAAAAGAATGAACCTATTACATTTTGTCACTAGAATGGCATGAGAGGCATTCAACCCAAATTCCTAATCCAGCCTGGTACAGATATAGCAAAACTGCTGTAGCTTTTCTGTAGCCTAACAAATCTTGGAAGACCATTGGCAAACGTCGGTCTCAGGGGACGATGAAAAGTGCAAAGTTGGAGAGTTACAGTGCCTTCTGTGGCTGAAGAAACATGTTTTGTTGCAGGTGGGCAGATGAAGTCATTGCAGGTGGGCAGATGAGGTGCACCATGGCGTTTCTTCTCTCTACACTCCTCCCACTGGACATTCCTCCTCCAGTTACTGCTGTGGATACACAATCTTATTTCCAGGCACTGCAGTCATCATTTCTACTGGAATTATATTGTTAAAGGAGGACCTGCTCATTTACCTTCTTTTCTTGAGGTTTTCTAGCTTATGCAAAAATCTGAGCTTGTCTTTTAGTTTTGACACTTTGAAGGCATGACCAATCATATTTCAAAAATCCCCGTTCAAAGCTTCTGTCCACTGGTCACACTGGAATTCTGATAGGGCACCTTCTGAAAAGCATGCATTGTGACCAACAGACCTCTGTGCCTCTGAGCACATTTGGCTGTCTACCTGGACTGCTTTCAGCATGCATATGCCACAGTGAAGGTGCCCAGAAAGGAGATAACGAGAATGAATAAGGAACAAGGAAGAACAGTTTTGTTCTATTCCTCGCTCACTCCAGTGTCCAAATTCACTGGTTCTGCACTGCTGGACTTCTATGGGAGATGCATATAGGGCTGGAGCTGTGGAAATAACTGAGCTCTGGGCAAAACTTGCACCTGCCCTACAACACTCTGGTAATCTCAGTTGTAGGGGATGGGACAAGTTCTACTACCACCTCAACCGCGGCAGTACCTTTCAATGACCACATTAAAAAGAATAAACCATTATCATCAACTTCTTTAGGAGAGAGGAGGAAAAGGTGCCATTTGGGACATTACTAAGGTGAGTGGAAGACCTTTCCCTCATTTTACATAGCTGTAACTCCAGAATCACTGCAGGGAGGGCAGCTTTTTACTCCCATTTAGGTAAAGGTAAAGGGACCTCTAACCATAAGGTCCAGTCGCGGACAACTCTGAGATTGCGGCGCTCTTCTAGCTTTATTGGCCAAGGGAGCCGGCGTACAGCTTCCAGGTCATGTGGCCAGCATGACTAAGCCACTTCTGGCGAACCAGAGCAGCGCACGGAAATGCCATTAACCTTCCCTCCGGAGTGGTACCTATTTATCTACTTGCACTTTTTGGTGTGCTGTCAAACTGCTAGGTTGGTAGGAGCAGGGACCGAGCAATGGGAGCTCACCCTGTCGCAGGGATTCGGACCGCTGACCTTTTGATTGGCAAGCCCTAGGCTCTGTGGTTTAACCCACAGTGCCACCCGCATCCCCCATTTAACTATACACTAAATAAATCCACCCTCTTTACTTTGTCTCTCCTACACAGACATCTGCGGGAGAGAGTAAATATAACCTGTCACACTGCCCGTCATTTCTCTCATTAAGAACAAACATAAGGTTCTGGTGGAATTGTTTTCTTTTCTTTTTTAAGGTCTTGCACTCTTGGATGCTCGCAGTCTACAATTTTGTTATGTTCTGGACCATCAAGAGTGCCTTTGTTCTCCAGTTACATTCATCTTAAAATAGCCATCTGAAAGCCTCTCTCCCGTCCTGGAACAATCCCAGACCTCCTTGGAAAGCCCACTTGCTGCATTGTCCAACTCTGCTACTGTGATTGTATTGTTAGCGGCCAATACTTGGTTGGGCTTTGATTCCTAATTCCTGCCCTTGGCCTCACGAGCTGATGTTTCAGCTCCATCTGTTCTACACATTCTGGTAACGTATATGCATTGCAAAGCCTTTCGAGCAATTTGGGATTCTCTTGTCACCTGAAGAAAGAAAGATTATTTTCAGATATGAACAGTCTGCAGGAAGCAGCAGATCCCTGCAAGATCAAGGAATATTTAACAGCAGGGCAAAGGGATGGCTTACAGACCACTCTGAGAAGTAGAGAAGAGATCAAAAGGGAGCTTTAACATATGTAAGGAGATGGCCAAGGATTCTGACTCACCCGCAACCACTCTTGGACCTTTCATGCAATTTATATTTAAGATCTGTATCTTTTTCATGCAAAGAAACCCTATGTCATTAATAGCTGTATAATAGGCAGCAAACACTGCGCACGTTTCCCATCACTGCATCTCCAGTTGCGGGGTTTACCTGTTGTATTTCAGCCTGTTATGCAGCTGTTAAGGGCACACGCGTTCTGTTTAAATGAAAGAGGCTTATCTTTGGCTAATTATCATACTGTCAAGTATCCATTGATTTAAACTTTTAATATGAGAGCCCCATGCACTAGCCTAGTGTTGCAAAAGCTGTCCCTAGGAGTTCTACAGCCCTGACCGCATACAGCCTGCTTCTGAAGATTTTGCCAGACATTGCTCTCCCTGTCCCATAGGAGCCAATTCCTGGGGGTCAAAGTCCCATCAGCCCCCACAACCCCACCCCGATAAAATATTTGAGGGGGCTGCCTGCCAAAATTGATGGGCATTGCCACTCAAATGTGTGCTCCACATCATGTGATAGATTATGTGGGGCGGAGCTTACCTGCCCCCTCCCAATATATTATTCAAGTTGGCACCCCTACGGCCTGTCCTGTCCAGTCCTTCCAAGCCTGTCTCTGCAGCTGGAACAACGGTGTGAAAAAGGAAGTCACAGCCTCATATCAATCCTGGGCAGCAACATCATGCTGGTGAGGGCTGATGGGAATTTTCATCCGAATGCCCTTCGGAGGGCACCAGGTTGGGGGAGGCTGCATTCCATCTCACACCCCACAACATCATATGCATTGTAACTGGCAATGCGCATCTGCTTCGAACGCTGTCGGGCCTACACAGGAAGAAACCAAATCCCAGCCCTTTCAGCCTCAGCGAATGGTGTGGGGTCCCATGGCCCTAGGTATGGGGCTAGCTCCGGCCCCTTCACACATCCTTCAGTGACACCGTTGGCTCCACAGACCACGCAGCGCAGCCCTCCGACACCCCCCCACAATGTTTGAGAGTGCCTCTCCCCAGCCTAGTACCTCATATCTCAGGAGCTCAATAAACATGTGTTGCCATAGCAACCAGTTCCGGCTGTGCTCACCGGTGGTGGACTTTTCCCACTAATGAGATGAAACAAGAGACGTGCTCTCCACTAGAGCAGGAAGGAAATGTTTGGCTTGGGAACCTGTTGCAAGGGGTGGGGGGCAGGGGGGAGAGGCTGTTCTACAACCAAGCCAGATATATGTGTGTGTCTCTCACTATTTTCAACAAGTCAGGGTAAACATTAATAATTTGTCGCAGTTGATAAGAAAGAGGGGAGACTCACATTTTACATGCCTTATACAGCAAATAGCTTACTCTATATTAAACATAATAAACCAAGACGTTTTGGTGCGTGAAGCAAAACATCGATCGATGCCCCTCCCCAAAGTGAAGGTGCACCATAGCCAAGGCAGGCCATGTTATGTTGGCAGCTGAGAAAATCTTGCAAATGCTTCTCCCTGGGAGTAAAAAATAAAAAATAAAAACACAATTCAGCATAATAAATTAAATGCCAATCTGCTGCCTTTCGGTGACATGCAAGATCAGCTGCTGCGACCTCACTCTACTTACCAGACTTGGTCGCTGGGCTGGTTAATGTAACACTCAAGAAGCAGCCTTTTTAGGCCTAATAATAATAATAATAATTTATTTCCACACACCCCCGCCCATCTGGCTGGGTTTCCCCAGCCACTCTGGGCGGCTTCCAACAAAGATTAAAAATACATTAAAATGTCACACATTAAAAACTTCCCTGAACAGGGCTGCCTAGGTAGTAGTTTATCTCTTTGACATCTGATGGGAGGGCGTTCCACAGGGCGGGCGCCACTACCGAGAAGGCCCTCTGCCTGGTTCCCTGTAGGGTTCCCAACATGCCTTGCAGCACCTTGAGAAGAAGAGTTTTTTGGATTTGGTATCCCACTTTATCACTACCTGAAGGAGTCTCAAAGCGGCTAACATTCTCCTTTCCCTTCCTCCCCCACAACAAACACTCTGTGAGGTGAGTGGGGCTGAGAGACTTCAAGGAAGTGTGACTGGCCCAAGGTCACCCAGCAGCTGCAAGGGGAGGAGCGGAGACGCGAACCCGGTTACCCAGATTACAAGTCTACCGCTCTTAACCACTACACCACACTGGCTCTTGACCACACAAATTATTAAACTGCCTCTGGGGCAGATGCTCGGAAACCTGTTATTGGACAGCAAGGCAGGCATGCACCTGACTGGTTTCTCTCTCTCTCTCTCTCTCTCTCTCTCTCACACACACACACACACACACACACACAGAGAGAGAGAGAGAGACAGACAGACAGACACAGACAGACAGACAGATATCGGTGGTAGTTTCTGGTTTTGGGTGGACCTTAGGCAGACCTTGGTTAAGACCCTCTCAGTGAGCCCCACTCCCTGAGTGGGATCACATCTTCTTCACAGCCATTGCTATGCTCATGAGGTTGTCTCAGTCAGCTCCACCTTCCAGACAGAAAGACAGAGAACATGGAGTGTGTGAGTTACTCCCCTTCTTGCTCCTCTGCCTCTCACCAAAAGAAGACAAGTGAACAAGGCAGCAATGAGAAGGAGCAAAAAAAGCCAGGAAGTTCCTGGGATTGGCAGTGGCTATCTGTGCAGGTCTTGGAAGTCCTGCCAGCTCCTGAAACCAGGCCTGGTAATAATATTCAAGGCTATACTTTTTATTTTATGAAGGGGGGGAAAGCTTTCCATAGCTGCAAATGGAGTATTTCCTAACACCACGACAAAAAATGCACATATAATCAAGCTGGAATGCATGGTTTGGTGTAAGATGTAAGGAGAAACTGTTTAAATTAAAATCTATGAGTAGGTATCTGCCAGCCCAGTAGAGTTCAGTTTCTATCACCAACATGCTCTTGCAGACAAAATAAGAATGTAGACTATGCCCACTGAGACTGTACTATAATTGTAATATAAACGCATTAGCAAATCTTTGCCACCTTGGCAATTCCTTGCTGCTGCTAAGGTTCTCTGTAAAAACAGCTTGTAATCTATCCTACTTTCAGGTGGTAAAATGGGTACAGTAAAAAATAGGCAAAGAAGAGAACAGCCAGGCTCTCCTCCTCTGGATTTAGTAGCCACTAAATCCTGTTCGCCCTCAATCCCAGTGCCTGATTCCTGGTTGTCAGTCTCTGACAGTGTACAACTCTAAACATGTTTAGAAGCCTGAGCTCAATCCTAATCTCAATGGCCAGGGTGTAAACACTATTCAATAGGACCGACTTCTGAGTAGACATGGCTAGGATTGCACTGTAACTTCCTAAGTGTGTTTAGGATTACAAGCTTTTTTTCTGAGACATTTGGCTTTGGAAGGGACATGCTTAAATCCAAACAATATAACCACCATGCAAAAAATGCCAAGGTAGGCAACCTAACAATAGTTGACATTTCAAGAATGTTCAAATGCAGGAACAGTATTTGAGTAGCGCATCTGCCTTAGTGAATCTATTCCAGTGTGAATCTATACCCATTGCAAACTGCAGCAGTCTTAGGGTACCTAAGCGCCTCATTCACACTTGGTTATTAATTCCCTTGTCATGTGTTACTTTGTAATTTTAAATTATCCTTCCTTTGTTGTACTTCAATATTTGTGTAGCTTTTAATACAATAAAGGAAACATTAGGTCACCATGTATTCAAATAATCTAGGCTCTCATATAATCATGTAATGAATAACATCATCACAAAACTTTGGATGGGCTACAGGTAAAAAGAAACAAACAAAAACCAATGCATTCGCATATGAAAATTCAGAACGGAATCAAAAATATGGATCTGAATTTGCAATTTATAAGTGCAGATGTCATTTTAAATGTAATCGCATCCTATAACAGCAACTGCCAAAAGCTAGAAGCAAACCCCAGGGGAATGGATCACTTGACCATATGACTGAAAGCATTGATCAATGCAATTAATTAATTGGTTTATCACAGCTCAGAGGTGCTGCTTTGTAGATGGATTTTAATCAGGCCCATTCCCTATGGAAGGCTTTCAGCGCTGATGGCATGAATACAAGCACATCCCTTGATTAGAGCTGTATATTCCTTCCAGAAGACACAAGCTATGCTCTTGCACCAATATCAAAGGAGCTTGTGCCAGCAACTCCTGGCGGTAAGAGCAACTTTTTAAAAGTTAGGAACTAGAAATAGAAAAATCCAGGGATGCAGCATAGCTAATTATATTCTTAGTACAGGGGAAAACACTGAGCTATTTTTAACAGTTTCACAATTTCCTACATGCCGTGTTGTGCAATGTTTCCTGGGATGAAGTGTGACCTCTTGATCGTCTTTGGACTGTGGCGCTCTCCCTCACTCCTACATTGCAACACAACCATATTCTGCAATACCATTCACAGGCAGGTGGTGGCTCCCAAGTTGTGTTGCTATTAACTTGGCCGCAACTGCATTTCAAACCCCTTGGGTAAGGCTTTTGCAGCTGTGGGGTCAGAACAGGCTGGGGAAAGGGTTACAGTCAAACGGCATATTGCTGAAACGTCCAACTGTCTCCAGTTGGCACTGTAGCCCTGGGAGTCCAGCGCTGCTATTTACATTCTTAGCACAGAGGGAACATTGGTGCAATCCATCTGGTTAATACACTGGAATGTCTTTCCCTAAAGATAAGTCAGAAATGCAACTCAGATCGAACACCGGGACCCATTGATATGATTTAAGAGAAGTCCCTGTGTTTGCTGTGCTGGGAAGCTGCTGCAAACCTAAAAGGGTTAAAACATTCCCAGCTGCCACCCCTTGCACTGAAAACCGAAGATTGTCCAGAGCAAAAAGAACTGCACATCTGCATGTCTCCCACAGTCTCTTGGCCTCGTTCCAAAGGGACTGTGGTAGCTGTGCACACACAGAGCCAGTTACTATCACTTGTTGCAGAATAACGTTAATTGTTAACAGACAATCTGACTGGCTGTTGAAACTGAAACGGCTTCAATAAGTTTCTCAGCTGTGCCTACATCTTAGGTAAGTCATCGTCACCCATATGCACGAAGCCACCTACCAAACTACAGTGGTACCTCGGGTTAAGTACTTAATTCGTTCCAGAGGTCTGTTCTTAACCTGAAACTGTTCTTAACCTGAAGCACCACTAATGGGGCCTCCCACTGCAGCTGCGCCGCCAGAGCACATTTCTGTTCTCATCCTGAAGCAAAGTTCTTAACCCGAGGTACTATTTCTGGTCTGTAACCTGAAGCGTATGCAACCTGAAGCGTATGTAACCTGAGGTACCACTGTAGAGGGAGGCAGCTAACTCCCGAAAAGCTTCACCTTAATTGTGGCCAGAGAAATTTGGGGGTGGGGGGGACATTTCACCGACCAGGGGAAGGAAAAATGATCCAAATGTTTCTCAAGGGGGAGGGCTCACCATTAGCAAAGCACTACCACAGCTTCATTATTATTTTTTTTATTATTCCTGCCATAAGATTTGTTTTTTGCTAGCATTGAAAGTGGCAGCAGAAATTGCGTCGGCTGCCGGGCTACCATTTTGCAGCTTCCACAACGCCCTGGGTCTACTGTCATTTCATGTTGTTTGCCAGGGGGCAAGGGAATTGAGGCCAGCCCAGAGAAACTGGTGGGAAAAATACTCGGAGGATATTCTACAAAGTGGTTTCAAAGCAGGGTGAGCAAAAGGAAAAAAACACATCAACTGTTCTCACAAAAAAATTCTTCTGAGGAATTTTGGCTCAGCTGTAACTAAATGACGTGCTTCATCATTATAAAGCAGCTGGTCCTTCAGATGCGAATCCCAGGCTAACTTGTATGCCCATTGCTAGGTAAGGTCAAACTAACAGCCAGTCAGCCCAGTGACTAGTCTTTGACAATGTCCCCTACAAAGGATGCCACCATCTGTTTACTCTGTCACACCCAAGTCACGACCAGCAGTCAGCCATCTAAGATCACTCTGCTGGACCAGCTATGGGCTTCTCAAATACAAACATAGTTCACTTGCAGACCGCAACATCAGGAACAGTGACCTGCACATGTGAAATGAGTCGTAATGTTAGCCCAGATCAAACATTACAGGCTGAATTTTCATATCATTCTTTTTTTTTTTTTTCTTTTTTTTTCCCGCCTTTCACTCCCTTTAAGGAGTCTCAAAGCGGCTAACATTCTCCTTTCCCTTCCTCCCCCACAACAAACACTCTGTGAGGTGAGTGGGGCTGAGAGACTTCAGAGAAGTGTGACTGGCCCAAGGTCACCCAGCAGCTGCATGTGGAGGAGCGGAGACGCGAACCCGGTTCCCCAGATTAGGAGACTACCGCTCTTAACCACTACACCACACTGGCTCTCAATTTTCATATCATTCTGAAGCTAAGCAAGGCTGAGACTGGTCATTTTCTGATAGCATATACTATCTAGGAACTCTATGTATGTTTCACTGATTTCCATAGAAGAAAGGGCATGAATGTAACATTTTTTTTTATTTTTTAAAAATGCCAAATATGAGATGTTCACTCTTTTTCTTCCCACAAAAAGGATAACATAGGCCCCTTTCTCCACATAATTCATGGCCAGCCTCACATATATCATATTTTCCAATGGGTTATTTTCCCTTTAGTCACTGATCATATAAAGATGGAAGATCCTTGCCCCTTTTCCCTCCTAGGTTTTCACCCTTTCCTGTTCAGTCCTTCATCTTTAACATAAAAACAAGAATGGCATATGGTATTCAAGGTGTGGTTATTTAATTGAAGTGCCAGTTCTGAAACAGAGGTCCTGGTTTTGACTTTTTATTTCAGATTAGTGTTTGCCTGTATTATATATGTACCGCAAAGAGGTTTTACTGTAGATGTATTGAATGGGGGGGGGAAACGGAATGGGACGAATTCAGAATGGACATTCCAAGCCTATAATTATGACAATAGATTTTGTATGAACAAAAGCATACAGAATTTTGTAGTGGCAAGGTTTGAGTGTTGGATCAAGAGTACCCAGTTAGTTCCACTCAGTTATGAAACTCACTGGGCAACCTTAGGCTAGGAACTATATCAGTTCCTGATATAACCTACCTCACAGGGATGTTGTGGGTATAACATGGGAAGAAAACTATGTAGGGTACTTTGGTGTTCTTTGGAAGAAAGGCTGGATGATAATTCAACAAAATATAAAGAAGCAAAAGACAGGAATGCAACCAAAACAATGGATATATAATTGAAATAGCAGCACAATCCTGTACCTATCTACTCAAAATATAGCTCAGTGGGAATGGCTTACTGGATTCCACTCCCAGGCGGAGGGGGATTCATAAAACTTTCAACACATACAAAATGAAAAAGGAGAAACCCAAATAGAACATAATTGAGATTAGTTGAAGAAAACAGGGAGAATAGGTCCGTTCAGCTGTCCTGTAGGTGAAAGATGAGAGGGGACTCATACACCTTAAATTAAAGATGAGAGGGGACTCCTAAACCTTAAATTACACATTAAATTAAAATTAAATTAAATTACACATTAAATTACACATTTTTGTCTACTTGAAGAAGCCATGGTCCGATCTGAAAAATACAAATATTTAGGTTACAAAACTATAAAAATAAAGAAAAATTAAGTTTGCAAAACCATAATTACCATGTGGTTAGGGTAGATCAACGTGTCAGTGTCCACTTATCCCCAGTGTAAATATGACATATCAACAAAAGTCAGAAATTGAAAGATAACTATACCATGTACACGAAAACTGATTTCAGATTTGAAATCAGCATTGAAAGAACATATAAGAACAGTTGAAAAATCTCATGCAAGAGAAAATGAAAAAAAAAATTGTTCTCCAGTGTTATAGTTGTGTAGAAAATGGGAGTTTAAGTAAGCCCTGTTGAAAAATGCCTCTTCTACGCAACTATTAAAGGTGCAGGAGACCTCTCTCTTCTTTTCCACCTGGCCACCCTACCTGGAGGGTTGCTAACTGAGCGGGAGGCGGGGGGGGGAGGGGACAGCTGCAGCCAACCAAACAGTTTGACCTACCTTTAACAGCAGCTTGATATACAAGAAGCTTTTCATGCTGGGGAGTTATATGAGATTACCTGGCAACCAACACTGATTGAACCGCTGATAAAGGGGCTGAGTGAGGAGTTCGCAACCCTGCCAGACAGAGTCTCTTCCTTGAGTAATTCATCTAAAAGTCTGTGTTACAGCTGCCTTGAAATCCAAAGTTTATCGCTGGGGGGGGAAGGCATTGCAAATCAGTCTTGGCCAAGCAGGAGGAAGGTGGTAGGAAAGACTTGGGTGGGGGAAAGAGCAATCTGTAGACACGTGTATTGTGAACCACATGGCTTCCTTACTCCTGTCCCAACCAAAAATGTAACGACTATTGCTAAATTACAGCAAGAGAACAGTCAAATCTCAAATGGCTGTCATGCAAGCTTCATTGCATGTGGTGACAGGAATCTAAAACTGCACAAGTTTCAAAGTACAATTGTGTAATGCAACACATCAGAACGATTCCAGCCATACATTTCTATGATTCTATTGGCATAGGCATGTGCCAATCAACCATTGGACCAAATAAAAACCTTCCAAGGTTCTGTATAGGGGTGGGGACAGAACAGGTGGGGCATTCCCGTGGGGTATGAAACACAAGAGCAGTCAAGTACAACATTCCTAGAGTGAACATATTTACACACGAGGAGGAATGTTTGTCCAGCCAGCAGGTAAACTTCCTGTTTCCTTCTGGGCTGGGACAGACTTCATCTACATGTGACAAGAGGTGGACGTGGCCTCACCTGTGCAGGTAATGACAAAAGCACAGGGCAGGGCAGCCATCTCTCTCTCTGACTACTTTCGTCAAAGAAGCAACATCTGCTTAGCCAAAGATGCTCTGTTTGCCTCCAGCCAAGAGAGAACAAAGGGACTGTCTCTTTATGGGATAGATTCCAAGTGTATGTTACTTTTCTAAGATAAGTCTGCCTTCTGGGATCCGACCGTGAACAGAATGTGAGTGAGTAAACTCTTTTATACTTTTATAGAAGACTGTGTCGTGTCTTATCTTTTATAAGGGAATAAAAGGGAAAATACCAGGACAGTTGTTATAGAGGCTTTAGTGAGCCTGAGCAAACGCAACCGCTGTGAGTTTAAAAAGGGAAATGTTACTCTGCTAAATTGTGAACTTGTTTACACAAGTTGGAAAGGCTATAATCAAACAATATATCCTCTCCTGCATCCCTGAACATTCCCACGATTCCCTCCTCATTGATCAGGTTTGGGGTTCTTTTCTGTAGCTCTTTAGGTATTCAGCCTTTGTAGCTCACTTGCCACTAGCTAGTCAAGAAGCTCGTTTCCCTCACTGTTCGAGGTGTTGTATACCACAAAAACCCACCAGGCATTAGCACCCTGGAAAGTCCTGCTTCCTCCCTCCTCTAAAAGGATCATATGCAAAGTTACTGAGAGAACCCTGAAGGATACACACTGCAGAGAACTCGCAGCACAGCAACGACCCATTTTTAAAGCAGCGTTTCCCAAGCAAAACAGACCAGAACATGCTAGAAGAGTTCTGGGTTAAAAAATATATATTTTAAAAAGCTCTGGGTTCAGCTGGTGTTTCTTCTCCCCAGAAATGTTTGGCAAGGCCATTATTGTTTTCTCCTTTCCAGAATGATTGGTTCCCCATCTGCCTGCCCTGCCTCCAGGGCAAAGAGGAATCGCACAGCACAGCAGGGAGAGGCCCGTGTTACATTGCAACCCAATTTGCTACGCATTTCCACACCATTTGCTTCCCTTTCTCTCTCCTGTGCTGGAAAGACATTTGCTGCCCGGGGGGTCTTCGCTGACCAAGGAGCTGGACTGCAAAGTCCAGAAAAGCGGCCTGTCAGGGGACCAGCTTGGGGGTTGTTCCAGGTGTTCCTATGGTAACCCAAAAGCCTCGGGGGAACAAGAAGAGTCTCTGGCCAGCTGACTGATGGAGATGCTAAATCCAGACATGCGCACAGGGTTTTACAAAAGTGTTAAGGCACATTCAGATTTGGACATTCTGCTGGCAAATGCCTTCTGAACTGGGAATACTCTATGCCATTTACAGGTGTATATATATACATATATGGCAGTCGTCTTTTCCTACCACATTACTGGGCAATATGGAATGTATTCATGGACTTATACTACTTTCCATTCAATACCTGTTTTAAGCTGGGAAGCCCCTTAGGAGCAACCTACCTTAAGGGACACCTTCTTCCGCATGAGCCCACCAACACATTCAGATCTGACTCAGAAGCACTTCACCAGATTTTCCATCACCACCACACAGGTAGAGAGGGCAAAACAGTCCTTTGCAGCAGTTGAAACACAGGGCTGGAATTATCTCCCTGGAGAGACTTTTGTTGTGATAAATTATGTTCTATTAAGTTTCAGCATTTTTAACATGTGCGATCAAAATACAATTTCTTCTTCTCTCCTATTTTTATGAACTTCCCACCCTGTTTTCCATGGAGTTGTTGTTTCTCTCCTTCTGCTGCACCTATCTTCTATTAAATAAATAACCACAATATTATAATCTAGTTACAGTGGTACCTCGGATTAAGAACTTAATTCATTCTGGAGGTCCGTTCTTAACCTGAAACTGTTCTTAACCTGAGGTACCACTTTAGCTAATGGGGCCTTGCGCCACCGCCATGCAATTTCTATTCTCATCCTGAGGTAAAGTTCTTACCTAGGTATTATTTCTGGGTTAGTAGAGTCTGTAACCTGAAGCGTCTGTAACCTGAAGCGTCTGTAACCCGAGGTACCACTGTACTTCTGTTGCTCATAGTTCAAATCCTGCTCACGAGTTCACCATGCTATAATATTTATTTAAATAGTATGGAAAAGGTGCCTGGCACAGACTAATGTACTTCTAGCACCAAATTTTCCACGGATATGGCTACTGTTAGGGTGGTCCAGGGGGCCCAAGCCCTGGTTGTGTCATGCTGGGCAGATCTGTCCATCACCCATAAAAACCCATTAAAATAACAACAGCATGTAAGGGTGGCTGGTCACCCTACAAAACACAATGCCAGTGAGACCCAGCTACCCACTGTCTTAATTTTCCCGAAGGCATGTGCAATAGCTGGACACGGGTAGGGAAAGTGCAATGTGTGGGGAGAGTCTTGCTAGATTTTAGAAAAGACTTGACTTAGTTTTACCATGTACGTAAGCAGCAGATTTTGCCAAAAGATTGCAAAATCCACATGCATTGTACTGGGGCCAGAATATTACCTCAGCGCCCATAACTCACCATGTGAGCCCTGACAGCAAGAGCTAAAATATGTTCCCCTCTGAAAGTAAGCCTAAGTTTGCAACTGAACATACAAGTTAGCATATACAATTTTTATTCATATTTGTGTTGTGGGCTTTGGAAATGCCCTTGCCTAGGCCTATTGGATTTGTTTAATTCTGCTTCTTCCTGGTTATCTTGTCTGCTGCATTTTAAACTTTTTTTCCCCAAAATCGATGTTGTTATGGATTTTAAACATCATTGTATACTGCTATAAAAACCTTCCAGACTGAAGGGGAGAGTGGGGAATAAATACACAGCTAAGTAATAAATTAAAAATATGTACTCATTGCGCTGGGCTGGTGAAGGACATGAATGTAGCAGGTCTTCATTTTTCATGAGCTGCAATCTGGAACACTCCAATTTCAGCGCTTAAAATTAAAGCTGGAATTAAATGGAAGAAATTATTTTGACTATCAAAGAAGATAATCTCAGTAATTCCTTATTACAGAGGAAAAAATCACTAAGGCTTCAATCCTTAACCTACTTACCTGGGAGTAATCCCCACTGAATTCAATAGGGTTTACTTCTGAGTAAACAAGGTGAAAATATATTAAATGGAAGCAAAATCATCTGGCCTTTTCTCTATAAACAATCTCTACTTGATTAGAGCGTGGTGCTGATAACACCAAGGTTGCAGGTTTGATCCCTGTACAGTATAGTACAACTAAATATTTCTGCAATGCAGGGGGTTGGACTAGATGAGGGGTTGTCAACCTGGTCCCTATCACCCACTAGTGGGCATTTCAGGATTCTAGGCGAGCAGTAGAGGGTTCTATGGCACAAGCTGAATCCTCCTTCCATCAAGCACTGGTGGGTGGTAAGGAAATTTTACCATCAAGAAAGATGCATTAGTGGGCGGTAGGTATAAAAAGGTTGACTACCTCTGGACTAGATGGTCCTCAGGGTCCCTTCCAACTCTACAATTCTTTGATTCATCTACTGCTTTTACACCCCTCCAACCAGGACCATTTTAACAAGTACCTCCAAGAAGTAAGACCCAGAGAGTGAAAACACTGGGAGACCAAAGCGTTGTGGGTTGAGCTACTTCCTGACAAACATTGGTTCCAATTCCTAGAAGGGCCATGGCAGAAAGTCCTTCCCTATGACCACATAAATCAGGTTTCCTCAAACTCAGCCCTCCAGATGTTTTGAGGCTACAGTTCCCACCATCCCTGACCACTGGTCCTGCTAGCTAGGAATCATGGGAGTTGTAGGCCAAAAACATCTGGAGGGCCAAGTTTGAGGAAGCCTGACATAAATCGTTGACGGGTGCAGGAAGAGGAGCCGTACAGTAGCAATAAAGGAAATAGCAATAAAGGAAATATTTGAAGCAGTCCTAAGATTTGACACTTGTCCATATGAGGTGACTACAGTGGTACCTCAGGTTAAGAACTTAATTCGTTCCAGAGGTCTGTTCTTAACCTGAAATTGTTCTTAACCTGAGGTACCACTTTAGCTAATGGGGCCTGCCGCTGCCGCCATGCCGCTGGTGCACGATTTCTGTTCTCATCCTGAAGCAAAGTTCTTAACCTGAGGTACTATTTCTAGATTACCAGAGTCTGTAACCTGAAGCGTCTGTAACCTGAAGCGTCTGTAACCCAAGGTACCACTGTATTGCCTAAATAGTCAGCTAAATAAAATTCCCAAAGCAGAAACAATAACAAAACTAGCAAAATACTTTTTAATAAACGCATTCATTGAAAAGCAACAACAATAAGACGGCAGTCCTATACACACTTACCTGGAATTCTGTGGACTCCAACTAAAATACTTAATAAATATATAAATATTAACTTGTTACCTGAAGCCTAATTGTGGGCACCTGGGGAGGTAATTCCATCAAGGGATGCTATCACCAAAGAGGCCCTTTCTCTGGTTACCCCCTGCTTCACATCTGGCAGTGGAGGTAACTTGGAGAACAAACTTTGATGCAATCCTTAACGCATGTGGAAGAAAACAGCTCTTCTGTTCTCCACTTCCCCAAGCTGGGGCTGTGGGGAGCATTCCCCCACATCCTGAGATGCCAGAAGCTTGGCAGCGAGATGTGAAAACGTTGGTGAAGCAGCTGACTTTCAGCCTTCTAAGATGAGCTTCTCACATGACAGGAGGCCATACATAAATGTATGCCCCTGACCTCTAAGAGTGGGTGAACCAATCTGTAGCACCTGCCCCACCCCCCATTCCCTGAGCCCCACAGAGAGCAACAGGGGGAAAGACAGCGACCCCATTGAGTAGACAGAGAAAAGCACTTAATGGCTGTGATAGCCAAGGGGCATAGAGACTGGTGCTGCTGTTAACGAGCATAATTAATTCCATACCACATGTCCAAATGTCATGTTTTCCTTTCCCCACAAAGTATACTCCAAGCCTAGCTACTTGAAAAATTTACATCGTTTTGCCTTCTGCGACATACAGCATAAAACATTCCAAGGATTTCTGGCATACCTGGGTAAGAAGTGGAATGGGGAGGCCCAGTCTAGATGAGTCAGGATCTCATTTTGAAAATGCCCAAGGCGCTCCATGGTTGCTGAGCAAGGAAACAATCAGAAATTCCCCCTGCCAGGCCTGGAGGCTCAGCTGACTGACTCCTCTTATTCTTCCTTAGACTTGGAGGCCCTGTAGTCAGAGGGTAAAACAGGGGCTCAAGGAGAACCATTCTAGCTTACTCAGCCGTGTGTGAACACAAGGCCAGCTTGTCAATTCCCCCATCGAAAACGGAGAAGGTTCCAGTTTTCTGTAAGACCACCAGAGTAGGGTATCTGAAAAGGAATGAGTGGGTGATCATGTACATTGACTTGCAAAGCTCTCTCACTTTCCCTTAGGGTAGGGAGGTGGTAGGCAACACTTGGCCCGCAGCCTGATTTCAAAAGCTCTCTGCAAGCAATCGTCTCAGACCTCTGGAGCAGGAGAGACAAGGGAGTGGCAGGAAGCAAGAGAGAAAAAGGGTGGCTCCGCTTGCCACTAGCATGCAACCCCCTACCGATTACCAGTGCAGCCACATTCAGGGAATGCAGTCCTTCACTGGGAAAGTCCCCTGCCCCCACTGCCTTAGAGAAGTCTTGGCTAACAGACTGCAAGAACTCAAATGCTTGCTCACTACCATATTTTTCGCTCTATAAGACACACTTTTTCCCTCCTAAAAAGTAAGGGGAAATGTGTGTGCGTCTTATGGAGCGAATGCAGGCTGTGCAGCTATCGCTGAAGCTAGGAGAGCAAGGCGGATCGGTGCGCACCAATCCCTCTTGCTCTTCTGGCTTCAGCGATAGCCATGCAAAGCCTCTTGAGTGCAGCGGGAGCGCTCCTGCCTCTCTTCGCTCAAGAGGCTTTGCGTTGCTTTCTTGTTTTCCTCCTCTAAAAACTAGGTGCATCTTATAGAGTGAAAAATATGGTATATTGCGTGGCATTTTGTCTGACCCAATAAAGCTATTGCCCTACAATGGATTTCGGGATTTCCCCTTAAGGGTCAAAAAAGCTATCTTTGCTTTTTCTGTGACTTCAGAGAATACTGAATTTACCTGCACAAGAGGGCAATGCTAAACTGGAAGGAAATAATTTTCTATCAGAATAATTATGGGACTTTATTCTGAGGATACATCCCCTCCAACAGCTAGATAAAACTACCTGATTTGGCTTCTGTTGACTTGGTCCTACCCCACCAAAAATTCATCTCTGTGGCTTCACCAACATTAAAATTGCTGTGTACTGTATCTGTTTCTTGCTGTTCTTGTCCATGAGGAGCCTGTGTTTCTCTCTTAAGGCTGGACATAGATCTAAAGAACTGGTGGATTTTATGTTTTGAAAAATGGTGAATTGCCCATGTTGTTTCCTCATTCATCCCTACCTTAGGTGTTACCTGAAACCTGCATAGTATCTAGAATACCCTAATCAAGTCTGCTATCTCTTGCAGACTTCATGGCTTTAACAGCAAACCAGTTTGTCTCT